TGTCAATTGTAATTGTCAGAAGAGGGATGAAATTTATGGGGAACTTGAGTCAGGGCCATGACACACAACGTAGATCACACAGTTACTGTGTCAGCAAAGAGACTGAAAGCTTAAGTATAACCTTATCTGACGTCATTCATTCTGTTAGAAGTTGCACATGAACACATCACAAAAACCAGAGCTAACAGACAGCTGACCACAAAATGCAGTATAATCTTCTCCCTGAGAGGATATAACTAGTTGTTAATTAATTATTCAAATTAAAATGAGAACAAAATTATTTTAGAAAGACAAACAAAGCAAACTTATACACAATTTTCACAACAATAACTGTCTGCTCAGAATACATATAAAGCATGTACTTGGAAAAAAAAAAAGAATTACAAGCTTTGCACGAGCATTATCAGTCCGTGGTCTGTGACCTGTCACCTGTCAGACACCCAACTCACCAAAAAGTATTGAAAACAATACAAAACTGACTAGTCACGGCCTCAACAGATGCTTGGATAAATGATCATTACCATGCAAACTAGTATTGATGCCATGAACAGAAAAGCTGAATCAATCCCTATCATACAGTTTTGACGGTGTTATCTGTTAGAACAGAAAAGCAACGCTGGGCAACCTGAGCATGTGCAAACATGGTCGACACCTGTTTGTATTTGTCCATTAAAGAGCAAGAAGACCAAATATTAAAGGAAAGATCAAAAGGATAGAGCTGGTAACTTACTAGCTTTGTAACTGTCAGCTTGGTAACAAATCCTTTTGAAATAATACTACAACGAGGATATATATCAAACATTGCACATCTAAATCCAAGACTGCAGTGGGTTTCTTTAAGGCACTGTTTAGAATTGGACACCATCGTCAGCAGGCCTCAACATGTCAGAGGTAAATAGATGCTCTCTATGGATGCTGACTAATTCTGAGTAAACCGGAAGTCAAGCCAATGACACACAAACCAGTATTGATGGAGAGGTCAGATAGGCAGCACTGACCTCATTTAGACTAATGGTTTGTAACGCAGAGCTCCAGAACATGATTTAGTATGGTTCCCAAGGCCTCTGGCATAATGAGTACCTTACTGAAAACTGCTTTTTAGACAGAAATCATGTTATCACCATATTTCAGAGATACCACAGACCTCTGCAGCATGAACGAATCTACAGCCCATATTTTTGCTCAGCACTTCCATTGTCCAAGGGGATATCTTCAATGTGCTTGTTTTATCCAACCAACCAACACCAAATACATTCAGTTTACCATAATTTAAGACAAAGCAATGCAAAAAATATTCCGTTATTGGAGTCTGGCACCAGAAAAGATTTGGTGTTTTTCCCTGAAAAGTGATCCAAGCGATTAATCGACTGACAAAACTGTGACCAATTTCTGTTTGTCCATTAATTGCTTAATCGACTAACTGACCAGCTGCTAAACCACTCCCACAAACAACATTTATGCCATCAGGTCTATCAAGCTTTGAATTTCTATACTATTGCCAAAACAGTGTGCATCATGCTCTAAAAAATGATTCAGTATTCTACCTAACGTTAGCCTAAAGGACAATAATGTTTATCGTTGCTTGGCAACACCAGCTGGTCCAGGACTTACACAATCACAATCACAAAAAAAGGTCAAGAGGTTTTAGACAGGATCTGTGAACCCGTCACATAATCTGGGCTGAATATTGGTATCGACCAAGAAGGTGCAGGACTGGATTTCTCCTCCCGTTGCTGGGAGGGGTGAATCAGCATTAAATTGGCCCAAAGCTCCTGTAGTCTGAGCCCAGTTTTAACAAAGGGTCAATTGTCTCAGCTCTAGTTTCCAATGTTCCTCTTTGCATCCACGTGATGATTAAACCAAGTTCTAACATTTAGGGAAAAAAATAATGCATGCATAATGGCTCCAGATGCAGCAGGTATTCCAAAGACGTGGGTTTTAGTCTGAGTAGCTGTGTTCAGGTAGAGGTGCATTACATTCCTAAATCCAGAGCAGGTGAAGCCATGGAGACACCTGTGTTTGGTTCTTGTAGAAAACTTGTTGGGTTCTTGTCTCAGGTTAAGCCCCAGGCCGTTGAATCACAATATGTTTCAAAGCAAATAATACCGTCTAGGATTACTAAAAGTCTGCTGTTACTTCTTCTTCTGACAATGACAGGGTGTATAGAATTACCGCATATTTTCTCTTGTTAAAAATTATTTTGTGCAAATGAGGAAATGCTATCTGGGTCACAGTGTACCAGTGATACCATGGCTGTGTGGGGAAGAAAGTTTGTGTGGGGTAAAGAACTGCATTTTGTTTTTTTCATTCAACCAGGATAGCTTGGTTAGGACGACAAATAATGAGATTACTTATCTTTAGAAATCTCCGATTACAGAACATTTCCCTGTGGAGTGGTTATACCTCTTGGCATTACATGAACTCAATAGCAGTAATATTGTCTCGTTTCTCAGGTGTCTTTTATGCTAAAATGGTTTGTTTGCAGACTGGAGTTACCGAAATGTGACTCTCCATACCACACCAGTCCTATTGTTTTATTCAAATAAGCAGCGGGAGAAAAGTAATAAAATATCCTGTGACAAAGCAGAGCTGATAAGAGACAAGAATACAGTTCTATACAGGATATACCTCTTGACATGACATGAACTCAATAGCAGTGAATACCGCCTCAGGTTTTTCACATGTATTGTATGTTAACCGTATACAGGTATGTATATAGTCCCTAGTCCATCAGGTTAGACCTCCGGACTACATTCACACATTCCAGTTATCATTTTAACCTGAAAATTAACCTTAAAATGTATTGTTATTTAAAAACAAAATTATGACTTTATCCAGAAACTATGGACATTCTGACCAAAAAGTAGGTAACATCAATCTTAAAAACTTTAGAAGGAAATGAATTGGAAAAACTCTCTGTATACAGATATCTTAGAATCTGGCTGGATTATAAATTATCTTTCCATACTCACATTGATGAATTTATTGAAAGATTTAAAGAAAGGCTTTCCCTTTGCAGCTAGAAAAAATCTTGTTAAGTCCACATTTTTAATTGTTTTAGATAGTGATAACCTGTATATGCAGGCATCAGACTATTGACTTTGTAGGCTTGACCCTGTCTATTATTCATCTCTGCCTTTTATTAAGAATGTTGGAACAAGAAGTAATCACTGTAATTTAAACAAATTAACTGAATGGACTGGACTGAAAATTTACCTTTTTTCATCTTTAAAGCCATCCTTGGTAAACTTCCTGTTTACTTTAGTGAAATGCTTTCTCCTTTTTCTCACAGCTAGTAGGCCAGATTATCTAGATGGATCATCTTTCGTGTCCTTAGAATCTGCTGAGAACCTGCTAAAACACAGCATCTCGTTATGCACCCTGGGCTGAAGATAAACTTAATCTGGAAACACTGCCTTCATTTCTGGCATGCAAATGTAATTGTTTACAATATTTAAATTCAATCACTTTTATGCCTTAATCTCAGGTCTCAGATTTTGTTGCATTGTATGTGACCGTTGTAAATTAATGATGTATGTTCTTATGTAACTATGTGACACTTATCTCCCATTGCCCTTTTGGCCAGGTCTCTCTTGTAAACGAGATAATATATCTCAAGAGACCACCTGGTTAAATAAAGGTTACTTAAAAAATGTGATTCGATATCAGACCAACCCTGCTGTTTTATTCATTTCGGTAGTAGGTCAGTAGGAGAAGGTAATGGAATAATAAGCCTCCAACAAAGGCACAGCAGATACAGTGACAAGAAACTAGTCCTGCACAGAGAAATAAGGATAATATTAGTTCATTGAATAGTAGTGAGGCAAAATTAATTTAATGAAAAACTAAAATCAGTAAAGATCATCATCCCACCCTTTATAGTTGAAATTATTAAATGATGTAAGTGATATTTTAACAGTGATAGTTAGCTAGATTCTGAATCATTGAAAGACAAAAAAGGTTGGTACTATCCAAGAAATGACTGAAATGACTGTAACAATGACTGTAACAGCCTAATGGGAACTCAACAGTATTTCTCCTTTCCATTTCATTGCTATTAGACATTCAGGTAATAAAGAGACAGAAACATGGGATACTCAATAGATGTTATATGTGACCTGTTGTATCAACCCTATACCTTCAGGACTCATATTTACACACCAGTTCCTATATTATAGTGTATCTAAGATAGATATAGGCACCTGTAGGTAGTTTGACTGCAGTATTTGTACAGTATCTTTTCAAAATATAGTTATACAGTTATTCAAACATAGGGGAGATGTGATGGGACCTGTCCTCACTACCGATTCATGGAGGTTATTTCCCTCAGTGACTAAAGAAACAGCAGTTGAAATTATTAATGTGACACACAGATAATCAACAACCATTTTGATAATCAGCATTAAAACAAACTATACACTCCAGTGATAGAGGCTTTAAAACCTCACCTGCATGCCTAATCTTGTAAAGGGGCCTTAATTTAAGATTTAGCCTAGCATTTACTATTTCAGTTTTGTGCTAATATGGTGCATTTTTATAGAACTGCAACTAACAATTCTTTTTATTATCAATTAACCTGACACACTTTTCTCAATTAGTCGATTGATGGCTTTACCAATGAAATGTCCAATGAAATGTGAAAATGACCTGGGAGTCTATAATCTACAACAGCTCAAGATGTATTCAGATTACTTATTCGAACTACAGTCTAAAACCCAAATATATTCAGTTTATTTTCATATGACAAACAAAGCATTAAATTTCAGCATTATATTTGAGAGGCTGGAACTAGCATAGGCCTATGTTTGGCAATTTTGCTTGAAAAAAAACTGGTCCACGTGTAAACATGCGCTCAGTAATTTCATTTTCGTCTCAGGAAACACCGTGTTATCAGCGTAAAGGCTTAAACATAAAGTGGTGTGTGTAGTCCTCTCTCTGAACTCATCACACCTGTGTTAACGCACAGTAAACATTGCCTCTCGTTGCTACCAAAAACTCACCGTCTCTTAGATACTGTTGCCGGCCAGCGCGTTCTCGGACAGCGCGAGCCCACTTCTCTGCCTCCTCCAGGTTAGCGCGAGGGTCCTGGAGAGCAGCGAGCCGAAAGCAGTGCTCCACTCTCTGCCGCGACACCCCGGAACTCATCCAGCGGCGTTTGAGCGGGTAAAAGTAGGCTGATACGTACGCCGCCTGATCCGCGTTGTCATCTTCCCGGTAAGCCCGGCAGCCGACACAGTCCTTAAGGCTGAGCACCACCTTGTTCCGCCCGACAGGTGCCGACGTGAGCCTCTGAACAACGAGGTCCCTTTCGGTCAGGCTCACAGCACACCTGACTTTTCGGTTACCAGTGACCGTGAATTCCCCGTATAGTGTTACCGGGCTGTTGCCAGTGTTGCAGTCCGTTTCTGCTCTCCTCTGATCCATCCTGAGCGGAAGCCGGACTGGGGAGACCGGGACGTAGCCACACTCACATTGCCACCCGCCTGAATGATGCGAGTAAAGTGGAGAACACAAGACTGAGACCGAGAACCTGCTGCTCGGACCGGTGTCAATTGGAAGGAAATCTAACACACCACATCCGGCTACATTTCGAAATAAGAGTTAGACGAATGAATGTGTTATTCTGAACTGACATGGGGTGATTTCACACACACACACACACACACACACACACACACACACACACACACACACACACACACACACACACACGAAATACATAAAATGCATGTACTTAAAAACTATTTGAGCATTATTTCCAACGAGGGGAATCTCAATAAAATTAAATATACTGAATGTATTTTCCAGTCATCTAATCAGCCTGTGATACAGAGGACAGAAGGTGAATATAGTTAGTGCAATTATGTACTTAATGAGGTGATAGAGAACCAGCAGTACCTAATGTTAGTCCTGGTGGGCCGGAGGCTTAATTCTCCAAAACACACACTTTAATCCGGACCATGAAACACATTTTTGGTAGTACAAGAAAAAAGATTTTTAGTTAGTACATTTATAAATCAGTGGTTTTACTCTACGTGTACTGTCATAATTCATTATGAACAATTCACCAACGGCAGACTCACGCTTTTATTTTTAAGGATGCCCAAATTCGTTGTGTGGTTGTGCCGTGTCTCTTTCTGGCTTGACGCATTTCCACTGGGCTGCAGTTTATGTTCAACTTTACTGCCGTTCATTAAATCTGCCCGTGCAAAAGAGGTGGTATGCTGCCCCCTGGTGGTAGGCTATCATGGGGTGACCGGAGGTTGCAAATCTAATAATCATCATAATGTAAACAGAAAAAAATATTGGTCCACTTAAAACTATCAACTGAATTAACTACACCTTTTAATGCATAGAAAACTACCTCAGAAGATGGTATGTAACATTTAAGTATATGTCCTCATGAAGTGAGACCTGGGTTTGTACAGTGAGCGAGTGATAATACAAGCACACAACATGGAGTCAAATAGACAGAGACAGAACAGCACTGTCTGTGGTTGCTGCTGGGATTCACTTTCCTGTAAACTTTAAGATAAGACTTTTAAGATATTTTAAGATATCCCAAAGAGACAGTAATATAAAGACTTAAAAGACTTACTTAAGTACCTTTGGAAAAGTAATTTAAAAAAGCTACTTTAGAAGTAATGAAATCTACTTTAGAAATTATATAAATGTCACCAGTGAGAAAGTGGTTTGTCTGCTTCTTGTATGGTGGATTTTGTCCTCCATCATTTTTGAATATTGATGCAAATTCTTATCAGAAACTACAGCAACAAATGACTTCAGAGAGTGTGGCTCAGTTTTTAATTAAATTTCCCACATGAATACAAATGCACTTTGATTAGTGTTAATTGGGATGAGAAAGAAAAGTTTTGATCAAAGAATAATGTGTGTTTCATTATATAAGTGTCCTTAAATATGTCATTGAAAATCAGAACAGGTTGTCTGCAAGTGGAGAAAATGGTAAAATGGAAATCATTCATTTGTCGAGGGATGATTTATAGAGATTCGTGGCCTAATTTTGGTTCAAATGAGTTCAGTTCAATTTAGCTTTTTCTGTGATGGGGGTGATGACAATTGTATGGTGGGCAGCTGAAGTGGAAGAATGAATCCAGAAGAACAATTATTATGCAGCACAGAGAGAACCATCATCTCCACAGAACAAATGAATTTCAATAAATCCCAACCTAGTGACCACTAAAGTTGTCAGGTAGGAAATACTGTGCCTAAATTATGCTTACACACACACACACACACACACACGCACACGCACACACACACACTCACACTCACACTCACACACACACACACACACACACACACACACACACACACACACACACACACACACACACACACACACACACACACACACACACACAGCCCACTATGTGATGGTGGAAAGAAGCTAAATACAGTTTTGAGGTTCTCGTACTTTACTTGAGAATTTCCTTTTTATCCTACTTTACATGTCTACCCACTACAGTTCAGAGGAGAATATTACACAACTACCAGTCACTTTGCAGATTAAGATTATACACTGAAAAACATGACATATGATGAGACCTTAGAATATAATGTGTTGTTACGTAATAAACTACTCAGCAGTATATTGTTTACAGAAGTTCAAATTAGCTCCACTGTGACTATATACCAGTCACAGAGGCCATTAAATACATGTACCACCACTGCCACTATGTCACAGATACTGTAGATGGATAACTGTTGTTAAATTTTAGTTTTTCCCAGTCATCATCTGAATGTAGCAGGTGCTTTAGTCAACCAGCAGATGGTGATGTTGGATTCAGAAAAATACTGAATGCATGAAACTCAGATATGTTTTCAGTTGCTGTAACCCACAGATGAAGCCGTTCTGCAATAATTCATATAACTTCTATGTTATCTGTACAAGGCAGAAGTTTAAAGTAACAGTACAATGTTTATACAATTTTTAAGGCACTGTCCCTTTACTTGATTATTTTGTGAGACATTAAACTTCTACCCCATGCACATTTGACTGAGACTTACTGCAGATTTTACCACAACATGTGACACCTTACACTTTGCAGTATACATGCATAGAGTATAATACAATGATATACGTTTTTGTTTATATTGGGGACTTTGACCACCAACAACTTTGCATTATCTTTCACTATGGAAATTCTGCTTTTAGTAACTTTTCAAGTCCTGGTACAACCATACCGCTGTAGTATGTCATCAATACCACTATAAAATGAATTAAATGCAACATCATTTATCTTCGTCATTGCAACAGTGATGTATACAGGAGTATATTGCTTTGAGAGAGTAATAAAGAAGTTGTCTGACTTCTCCTTGGTCAAATCAAAGTCATTCTTGCGTTGTTGTTCTGCTCCAGGCAGTGGCACATGATCCACAGAGAGGAGAAGAAGAGTGGGAGGTGTAGGAGGAGGTAAGCATATATGCAGATGGGAATTAGTGGTCCCAGTAAACACCTGGAGCCAGAGGGGAAACGAGATGATCTTATTCACATGCAAGTCATGTGCTTCTAAAACGCACAGCTTTTCATCCACTTCACACCAGAAGATAGGTAGGCATCACCTTAATTCCTACTTTGGCTGTGAATGCAGCTTTCCCCCCAAGGCACTCAGGCTTTACTTTGAACATGAACATATTATGTAATTTGCTGCAACAGGAGAAAATGCCTCTGAAAAACATGCATGTTTCTTCAGCGTGAGATCATTATACACACTATCGCCTTCACAACAAAAGAGGCCTTTCATTTCAAACTGCGGGGTAGATGCTGATTTCCTAAAAGCTATTGATTGAAAATGGCACAGCTGAGGAGCGGGAGAGGAGCCATGAATGGAGACAGTAGATTCTCACTTCCACCGTTCTCCAGCTGTGAGCTCTATGGCTGCCTGGCCTTGGAGGGGGAGAGAGGGCCGTCCCTGCATATGGTGTTTTTCAAGGGATTTAAGAGACAGTGCTGTCACTCCCATATGTGCTTGAGTCTATAGCTTTGAGAGGTTTCATCTCAGAAGGGCAATGAAAACCAAGTTTTTGCTGCACACTTTCTGCACACATGCTCCAGTTTGCACTAATTGCCATCGCCGGCATTCCTCACCATCTGGTTTCATCTCCTTAATATGAGACTGTTGACACAAGCTTAATAACTGATAAGCAGCCATTAGGGCGATGCAGCGCAGATGTCAACTCAGTGCATATCAATACGGTCAATACATTAACCTAATTTTTGCTTATATAACATACAACTCACTGAGCCTGTCTCTGCCCTATCACCACCCCACACCCTTCACGCACACACACTGACAGACAACTGAGTGGGAGGAAGGAATGTCATATACCTCAGCATTTAGTTAGCATTGGCATCCAACATGACAGATTCCCCGTCTGGGTCGCTTAGCCCTGATGGCTTGCAGAAAGGTTTCGCCTGTCTGCCTAGCTCTCCTTCAGTTGCCCCTTAATTCTGCTCTGTTTCTTCAGATGCCCACCCCCTTTGTCAAGGCGCTGCCATAATTATATAAGAGTTATGCAAACCTGTCTCTTGCTGGCAAACAATGAAACATTTCAAGCCCTGAAATGAGAGATATACAGCTACATATTCTGAAAATTATCATTTTAAACTAATAAAGGTGTCGCTGCCAGGGTGCCTCTCGGAGAATAATTTCGTGTAATTTCATGCAAAACCATTCTCAATCTTCTGTAGACTAGCTACTGTGAAAACTGAAAATGTGACTCTAAACGAGACAAAGAGTTGAAAGCCATGAGAGACTATTAGACACAGCAGGGCTTTGATCCAAGTGGTAACATCAGCATGCTAACATGCTAACAACAGCATTGATAATATGCTGATGTTTAGCAGATATAATGCTTATCATGTAGTGAACATTTGCTAATTAATCAATTAATTGGTTAATCAAAAATTGCTTGTGTTGTCTGACCAGCAGTCTAAAACAAAATATAGTCAATCTACTGCCATAGAAGACAAAGAAAACCAGCAAATGTTCATATTTTACAAGCTGGAACCAGTAAATTCTTGATATTTTAATTAATTAATTGTGGCACATCGATTTTCTCTCCCTTGAAAAACTGACTGAGTCAACTGAGTCAGCAGTAAGTACGTTACATACAACAAATGATTATTTACCATGGGCCTATGTTTTATTGTATTTATCCCTGATGTGTGAGTCATTGGTGATATTAAGTGGACAGCTCTCTTCTCAGAAGTTTGTTTGACCTGCAACACAAACAGCAGCAAATTCCAGTATCCTGAAAACACCAGGAGAAGAGAGGCGGCTTGTAGGGCCCACTAAGCCATCTTTAATTCAGCTGCCACCCAGCTGCCATGGGGCATTCAGGAGGCTGAGTCACTCACTGAACAGAAGATATGCCAAGAGGAACAGACAGGGGAAAGCCCAGGCTTCTCCCTCTGCAGTGGGGGGAATCACTCCTCGTTACATGTGGACGTGGTTTATCGGGTCACCTCCATTCTCATGGCCTGGTTGTTGGAGCGTGGTTGCGGGGGATTTGAAAAGAGGGAACTGGATTAGTATGATGGTATGAGCACTGATATGTGTCACAGGGGGTGATACGCACTCTTGCAAAATGACTGAACCAACTTGCCTGACTCGATTAGAGGGCGTCCATGTAACTCTTGAAATGCAGCGCCGTTTTAGAAATACGCTGAATATTGCGGCCAGTGGGCATTACTGACATGTCCCCGGGGTGTGTTCACTGAGATGTGCTGTAGATGGTGTAATATGTCGGCAGGCAGCAGTCACCTCTTTGCATGTACACTTTGAGATAGCAAATGTCATGGCACTGTGAAGCGGTCAGAGAGAGAGAGAGTTCCACTTAATGTTCAAGTCTTTTGTGTCTGCTGAGTCAGGTTCCTTCCCTGGTCAAAATATTTAATGCGGTGTATCAGGTATTTATGGCAATGACACCTACAGTACATGTATCTGGGCTTCTCACTGCTGTGTTCTACATCATCTCATTTTCCAGTCAGTGTCAACCACAGGGTCAGCTCTCATGATGCTTATATGTAACCTATTAGAAGTAGCTCCACTGTATATCGCTGCTCATTTCCTGAAGTGGTTGCCTGGTGGTGCTGAGAGAACAGAACAAACATATCATGCTGATTGAAGCGACACCTTGCTATTCTCACAACCTCTCCAATCCACTCAGGCCCCCCGACAAAACCACAACCTATAAAATCATGGAGAAAAAGAAAGCAAGTGAATGTGTGTGTGTGGGGGCGTTCTCAAATGTGTATGTCTGAGGGGGCTGGTTGAGAGTTTGGAAGACCGTTATTGTTGCTGGTGCGTGTTAATTGCCTCTGAGTGGATTCTTATCAGACTTTTGCTCTCGCTGCAGGAAGCCGCTGCTCGCTGTATCAACCTGCTGCTGATTATGAGGTGCTCCCCTCACTGTGTGCATTACCTTAAAAGCAAATTTATTTTCAGACATTTCAAGAAACATTCACTGGGAGTGATCACACAGTACCCATGTGGATATCCCATCATCATTACATTAAAGTACAGCATTAATATGCACATGTTACTTTAAGGTACAAAACACACGCTGGTGTTACTGTGTCCTTAAGTAAAGCATAACTCATGCAGGATTCATGATGATTTAATTACTGCTGGGTGTATCATTAATTCCTGTTGCTCACCATTATGATCAAGTCACTGTTAGTTAATGAGATTAGTTAATGCTTAATGGATCATCAATTAATGAATGTTATCTCAGTTATTTCATACATTCATTCATGTCACTGGATTAGTTATGAACCAGTTAAAGGGAACAGGGCATTTAAGAGAGTTGCATCTCTCTGAAAGCCGAAATGTAAATGCAGTATTCTCATAACGTAAATAAGACACAGCATTATTCTGTGGGTTGCAATGTTGGTCCGTCAGACGGTTGTTCAGACCACCGCTTTGGTCTAGGCTGAAATATCTCAACAACCACTGGGTTGATCTGCACAAAATTCATCCAGACAATGAATGCTAATGACTTTGGTAATAACCTGACTTCTCCTCAAGCTTCACCTGAGGCTCACATTGGTGGTTATGAGTGAGATATCTAAAAAATTATTGAGTGGATTGCCATGAATTTTGGTATTCATGCCCCCCTCAGGATAATAACTCTGATGACTTTTCAATTAGTGTCATCATCAGGGAAAAATTGCCGTTTGTCCAATATGAAAAAATACCTGCAAAGCTAATGACGTTCCCGTCAGCTACACTTCGTGTTCAATGCTAATTAGCAAAGGTTAGCAAGCTAACATGCTAAACTAAAGTGGCGAACATAGCAAAAATTATACCTGCGAAACATCAGTATGTTAGCATGGTCATTGTGACCATGTTAACATATTAAGCACTGTTGTTCCTAGTTCCTTAGCCTAACAGAGCTGCTAGTTTTGGCTGCAGAGTCGTGTTTTTACTCTCTAGTCTAGTTTCTAAGTCAACAACAACAACTACAACTGTTCTTTAATTAAACCATAACTAACGCAAGCTACTGTTTTGTTGTGTTCATCTCCAATCCCATAGTGCAATACAGAATATACATTGGTGTATTAATTTTCTGCCAAACAAGTTTAACCTTAGATGCTGTACCTCTGTGAGCATTCACTTACTAATGGGAAAATGACACCTGACCTCAAATACAATCCTAAAACAAAGTGTCAAATGGATGAATTTATTCTTGAGTGTATAAAAAAAAATATATAAATACTAGGTCTGTGTTTCCACCTTTCCCTGCATGGCATGACTAATACTAACAAAAACTGGCCTATGTATGAAGCTAACCGTTGACCCTTTCTTTATGGTACAGTGATATGAACACATACATTAAATAATGCCTGTAGGCTATGATTCATGACAGATAACTTTAAAACAGGTCACAACATTGAGTTGATGTCTAAATGCCCTGCAGCCAATAAGTTTGCTTCTGTTCCTTTGAGTCCTGCCAGTCCTTGCTCAGCGTTTTTTCTATATTGAATCTCAAAGTCTAGAGGAGAGATGATTAAGTCTGCCGATCAACTGTGCTACCCAAATGATTGGGGAAGAAAGAGGGCTCTGTATTAGAGTCTCCATCAGTCCCTATACCTCTCTGCATCTCTTTCTCTCTAAGGCCATTATGAGTCGTGGCTCTCTCCCCCATCATTAGATTAACTCCCATGCTTTACCAGAGTGTGCAGGAAGACCATACTCATTACCCAAGCTGCTCTGCTTTAGCGAGCACACAAAAGCCCCGCTTTCACCTTGTAATTTGAGTCAGATAGGCTCGTCAGGGCAGGAGGCAACAGCGAGATATGGAAGTGCTGCCGCCACTATCTGCAGATACTCGTGTCCTATACCTCCTTGATTACACAGGCGGATTCAGAGTGCACGCTTGGCAGAAGCGATGTTCCTGGGGACATATTAAGCACATTAGTTCCCCTGGCTTCTGCCAATAGTGTACTATGGCTGGAGGGATTTGGTACACAGTTGTCAAAATGACAAACAGAAACATTTAGGATAATAGAGTTCTTAATAGAGTAGATGCATAACACTAAGCCATATTCCTGTCACAATGGTGCATTTGGTCCCTTTTCAAAAATAACTCTGTGGCCTGGTGGTCCCAGTGGAACATAAATTGAATGCACACTAGTGTCCCCCGGACAACAAACAGGAAAACAACCTTAATATCAACAAGGATTCAGTCATAAATGTAATCAGGGAGAACATAATAAGATCTCATTTGGTGGCATAGGAAATGGTCAAGCTCATAAAAAGACATAGAAAAGAGCATCCACTGCAGAGTACTGTATATGACTATTATATTGGTCATTTAATTGGTTAACATGATTGGAAATGAATACAAATGATACAATAGAATAACCCTGGTAGCTTGTTTTTTGTGTGTGGTGCTTTTGTGCTGCTGACAGTGTGGGTGTGGATTTCCCTCCAAATAAAGACGTAACAGGTCGTGTACAACACAGAAAACACTTCTTTTTTGTTTTTTTATTTCTGATCTGGCAGCAGAGTAATTTAGCAGTCATTCCAGAGAACCTTAAGTTGGAAACTACTTTTCATTGCTTAGGGGACAGTTGAATAATTATACAGTTACTTTCCTCTCCTGAAGGTTAAACAGCAGCTTTACTAAGAGAAGAGGTCATTGCAAGACTGGCTGAAGAGGTGAGGCTTGCTAAGGAAACTGGGTTCAAACAAGGTTGACTATAACATCTGTTACAGTTTTCGTGCTCAGGACACAAAGCATACTTTCCATCGCAGCAGGCACACAGCAGGCACACAGCAGGCCTCCAACAAGATGTTGTTATTTGGTTGAATGTAGTTTGTGATGTTGGGTGACCAATATTCAATATCAGGACAGCGTCTAATGCCAATGTAAAATTGACATAGAATACTGAGCACAGCTGATGTTGGTATTTTATTAGTTTTAAGGTGTGCTGTTAAGTAACCAAAATCCAGCATCTTCCCGATGCCAACGCCATCTTGACATAGAAGACATTATAGAGTTGGGTAAAATCCAATATCTGTTAATGTCACAGTGTCAAGTAGCCAACGTTGGGTTTTGATGTCAACCTGATTTTTATTACCAACAAAAGTTTATCGTTTGTTTACAGTCAATGTCTTTCTGATGTTGGATGTATGGTGCCTGCTGGGATAGGTGCCTGAATCTTGGTGACATCCCTATTTGCTGCAAAAATTTAAAACAATTTACAGGACAACTTCAGTCTGTCTGTTTTTTTGGGACAAACAAAGTATGTGATATGTCTTGAGTTCTGCTGTCAAATAGCTGAAGAACATCTAAAGCCACATCTTTTACTGGAGAGAGACCTGCTGTGGTTTGAAGAAGATGGAGGAGGACACACTGGACTGTTTCCACTTATATCGCGAGGATATTTCCCCTGAGAAGCATTCTGGGAACAAGAGAGGGTTAGTTAGTTTGACACTTCACTGCCCATAATAAGCGACAAAGAATCTCATCCAAAACACTTTGTGACTTTAGAATTGAAGTTCTACCTGATATTTTTTGTCAAAAATAGTTTCTTCATGTGACACCAACAAAAGATCATTTAATTGTGCCAAATCTGATGTTTTGAGACCTAGTAAATGATGATCTTATAACAGACACTGTAAATGAGACTGTTACAGATGCCAGCTGAGTTGACAAATATTTTTTTAATCAGTTTGAACTCAGTGAAAAGTGGGGTTTTAACATAATTCAAGAAAGGCTGTTTACTAGTTCTCAAACTAAAGTTTGTTGATTACTAACCTCATGCTACCTCTGCCATGCTGCTAGCTGGGTTTGTGTCTGTTTAGCTTGTAACTTGTGTACACGGACATAAAGTGACGACATTCAAAGCTTCAACTCTCACAGTAATAACTGCAGCTTGATGAAAAGTGAGTCCAGAAGTTCACTTAAAAGAAGAACAGCAGACAAAGGGACTGCAGCAAAAAGATTGATAAAGATTTTGATATTATATAATGAGAAAGGGGCGGCACAGTGGTGCAGTGGTTAGCACTGTCACCTCGCAGCAAGAAGGTTCTGGGTTCGAACCTCGGTTGGGGCCTTTCTGTGTGGAGTTTGCATGTTCTCCCTGTGCCTGTGTGGGTTTTCTCCAGGTACTCCGACTTCCTCAGTCCAAAAACATGCACATTGGGTTAATAGGCAGCTCTTAAGTGCCCATAGGTGTGAATGAAAGTGTGATTGCTTGTTTGTCTCCATATGTCAGCCATGCGATAGACTAGTGACCTGTCCAGGGTGTACCCCACCCCCACCCAATGTCAGCTGGGGTTGGCTCCAGCGACCCTATACGGATAAGCGGTATGGATAATGGATGGATAGACAATCAGAGAGCCTGTAGGCTGCCTGTGGTTTTGCTCTGCAGGATGTGAAAACAGTGAAGCTCCCTCCAAACCACACATAACACAGATAGAACAATATAATTCCAATGTCACAACATGTATAAACTAAAAAGAGCCACTGATATTATTACTTTACTATCCTCTCTGACTTTATCTATTCAGTCATATACAGTCAATATTTGAACACAGCAGGTTAAGTTCCCACAACCATCAAACAACAAGTCCTGTGGACTTCAACTCACCAGCTGTCTGGCCATGGACCTGAGGACACCCTCCACATCTGAAACCCACATCTGTGTGGAGGAGGGAGAGAGGGAGGGAGGGAGGGAGAGTCAGAGGAGGCAATAGGAAAGTGACAAATTAAGTATTTCATCATTTAGAGAGACAGTTTGCAAAGGGGAATTGGCTCCTTTTGATCATAGCAGACCCAGTTCTGAGTGAAAACAGCAGTTTCACATTTTGGTTGATAAAATATTAAGCAAGCTCAGGAAGAGTTCAATCTTCAAACAGCCAGATGAGCCAATATATAAGCAAATATGTACCAACAAGCTCAGCGTATATTATGTGCCGCCTCTGAGGGTAAAACTTTACTGACCCAAAACAATGGGACTCAAAAGTCAAACAGATAATATGTGCAGCAGTAACTGTTCATCAGGTTTTTTCCTTTCTCTTTTCTTTTTGTCATGTCATGTATAACTTTTATATTTGTGCAAACATACAAACACTCAAAACACTCAGGAGAGCTATTACACAAGAGCTTCAGCACAGTTAGGAGATAGGAAAAGGAGAACTGCCATTGACTGATCTGCTGGACAATACCCAGAGGCATTGTACATAGAATAGCCTACATAACAGACTGTCTAAATGACTTAGTATTGACTGAACTGGGAGAAAACAATGGACAGCAGCTCTGTGTTCAGTCTGTTCGCGCTGAAATGTGCACGAGCTATAAGAAGGACTGATCCTAGAAAACAGCATCACAAAATGTTCAGGCCACTAAAAAACTGTCTTACTCTGTGGCTTTGTCTCTTCTCTATGCTCCACTCTCGCACATCCCTCCAGTGCTCTGGCAAACATGCATCAGTTGCCCGGCTGTCTCCCCTCCTAGCCATGATGTCCCCTCCACCAAGCCAGTGTGCTGGGTCACTGCACTGACCACATCCGCCCCCTCAAGTGTCCAACACAGTTTCCTACAATGTAACTCGACTCTAGTAATTGATACTCTCCAGCACAAAGCTGAACTGTGGGTGGTAACGGTGTGCAGGATCAAAATCATTCTGCTAGAAAGACGTAGCTTAGCAGTGTAGATAGATGATGTGGCTGCACTACGCTCCCATTATCAGTCCACTGAAAGCTGACAAAATGCACATCTTTAAATCTAGACATCCTTTCCCTGCAGTGTTTCTGATTAATGGAAAATGATTCACTGTGTCATTAGAGGATGCCAGTGTGTAGGTTTGGTTACATGTGACAGTCAGAATAATGCAGGTCTCACCTGGTGAACATATTCCTATTAAGTCTGATCTTTAAATGCAGTTCCCCGCTGGAGCCTGCCTACATATCTGTGGAGAAATAAAACACATCATGATTAAATGGGGCATCAGTTTTATTCCAGCTATAGTTTCCCCAGTTACAGCTGCAATTGTTATTAGAGTGTAGACTGATATTTTATTGAAGTCATACAAAAACTTTTTTGATGTTTTATGTAAATCCTAGAAAATGTCAGAGACACTTGAATTGGACAACATAATAGAAACACTTTACTGTTCTTTCCAATCTAACACCACCAAATGATACAGCCATGAATGTGTCCAAAGACAACACAATGTCAAGAAAGTCTGAAGAGAGAGGACAGCACTCCACTGGTCCAGCGGACTCACAAAACTAATGGCACATTTTTCCTGAATTTGTTTACAGAGCTACCAAACAAACTGGGAAGTGTGAAGTCATTCTATCCACTCATTGCACCACTATAACTGTATTGACCATAGTGATGATGATTTCATTATTTAGCCCAGATTTTAAAAGCATCTACTATTCAATTTTCTGTCATTAAGGCACTGAGGAAACACCACTTTAACTGGCTTTATCATTAAATAAAACCTTTCTAATACATTTGCCTGAGTCTTTTTGAGTTTTTGAGTCACAAAATTGAGCAACACCAGACCTTTCAGACTCAGTAGACACAATTTAAGATGTGGTGGGTGGTTCTGGTGACACTACACAATCAAAATGGTTCAGCCCTGTCTCAAAAGAGGAAGGCTTTCAAAGAAAGGATCGCCCTCTGACCAGCTGGTTGAAAAAAAAATCAGTTTATCCACAAACTGCAGATCACAGGGTCGACTCTGACATCCCAACCTTCTGTCACGAGAACAGAAACAGTGACCCATGGAACAAGAAAACAGTATCTCTATCACTGTATACCTGAGGTGGATGCCTGGTAACACACTGAGGCTCACTTTTCCGAGTCTCTGCTGCTCTGCACCCGGGACGCCTCGTTCTCCCCAGAGTCTTTTGGAAAGCTGAGAGGAGGAAGCGATGGAGGTGAGGGAGAGGTCAGCAGAGTGGGAAGTGGGTAGAACTGTACATTACCAAGATTATAATGAATTAAATGAGGGAGACAATGATGAGAAACATTTTTGAAGGTGATGAGTGGAGTGATGATGGTGAGATAACGATTACCAGCAAGTCAGGAACAGTAATCTGAAGCCAAATGGAGAGTAGTCACACTTTCACAATGTGTACATGTGTGTGCGTGTGTGCGTGTGTGCGTGCGTGCGTGCGTGCGTGCGTGCGTGTGTGAGAGAGAGAGAGACAGAGAGACTTGGTTGAAGCATCACTTCAACAAAGTCTTTTAAGTCATTTGAATACAAATGCAAAGTGAATCTTTCCCTGTTTGGAAGTGGTTTATTCTGCATGATCACTTTCTGAACCAACAGTTATGTTGTTACTGCAGTTTGTAGTAGGATGTAGCTGGTTGGTACAATTACTCAGTGAGTGCACACAAAACCAATTTGATTTCCTGATGATGTCTTTTAATCCTATCAAGAGAGGAAACAGTGTAAAAAGTTAATTTTCTGCATGTGCTGCTGAACATTTTTATAAAGTGGATTTTAATGAATGTATTTTCTAGTTTCTAAGCAGCCACTGGTTTAAATTCACAACACTGTAAAAACAACTTACAGAAGTTTTAAACTTGCTTGAAATCCTGTACATTTAAACACATTTTTTATTTTATATTGTTATATTATTCTGTCATGGTAAGAGCTCGACTGAGAATGTAGGCAAGCCGGTTTTTCAGCCAATTTGATGTCAGATGATAGGTAACAAGAAATTTCAGCGCAGAAATGCCGAATATCTGGTTACGGCAGTTTACAAATATTGTCAGCAACATTATTTGCTCACCCTGATTTTGAATTTTATAGTAGCTGTTCAGTCCAACACTTTGCGTCAGACAGAAATTAGATGAATTGCCATGAGACATTCATTGTCCCCAGAGGATGAATCATAATACCTTGAACATGCATAATCACCATGCCTGCTAAACATCAGCATAGCATAGTCATTGCAATGATGTTAGCATAGTGAAATTAGCATTTAGCTCAGTGTGCCACTGTGCCTCCCTGGGCTGCAAACATGGCTGTTGACTTTTGGTCTTGTTTAACTTTGTCCCACTTGTTTCATTTCTTTGTGACAGTAAGATCTAAATATTTTTTTAAACAATGAAATATTGACATTGTGCAGATCAGTCAGACTATAATTGTAACAAGGTGCTGACTAATCACAATAAAAACAGATGTGGTTTTTGTTATGATAGATTAAATCACTCAAGCAAGTTTGAAGCTTCTGTAAGTTGGCCTTCACTTTGAGGTGAAATTAATATAAACGAGCTGCTTCCTTGAAGGCTGAAAGAGTACAATTAAAAATCAAAAACTATGTATCTAGATGTTGTGAGGAAGAGAAATGTAAAAGGTTGACATTTTTGACATTTTGCAGATTCATCCAACAGAGTATAATCAGGATTAACATAACAAGACTAAGACTCTACAGCCATGCTAGTGGCACCAGGCTGTACTTTGAGCTAAATGCTAATGTCATGATGTTAACATGCTGATGTTTGATAGGTGTAATGTTTATACCATTTTCACCATGGTAGTTTAGCACGTTAGCATGCTAACATTTGCTAATTTACAGTAAAGACAAAGTACAGCTGAGGCTGTGTTTTGTTTAATGTGAAAATGTGTCCATATGTTGATGTTATGTCTGGACGTCAATGTGTTTTCTCAAAATACATTTAGTTGGTGCAAAATAGTTGTATATAAATGTAATTAACTTAATAAGGCATTATTAGCTGAGTGTGGAAAGAAGAGCTATTTCATTACTGGCCTTTAACACTGTTGTATTTCTGATAAAAATTAAAAAAAACAAAAACAAAAACAAATCCTTTTCCATTTCCTCTCTCTCTGCGTGTCTTTTTAGCCTTTCAGCAACCAAATACAATATAATTATCTGTTCTATGTTTATTTAGTTGAATGTCAAAACAAATAGATGGCTATTACTGGTTGTACCTGTATAATTAAGAAAATTATCAGTTAGGATCTGTGATATTTCATGAAAAAAAACATGTTCCTGAGAAAAAAAGAGTATCTACATCTCTATCTCTATCTTGTTCAGTCTTCAAGCCATATACAGTATGTCACATTTATGGCATGTACTGTATGTCATTGTATTTATAACCTTTATTGTCAAGAGCCAACCTTAAAATCTGTCACATCAGAATGAGGTGTTTGTTCAGGCGCTTATGCAAAACAACCCCTCTTAACCCTGCATCAGCTTTTGAATCTGTCAGTGTTACTGCTCTTCTCAACATAATAATCTTGGCATTTGCAATCAGTATTTACCAGCTCAGCTCAGAATAGCATCCAGCTCTTGGAGATTCCCTTTAGTGACAAAACAGTCACTATGAGGCTGACTAACTGAGACAGACAAAAACATTTCACAGTAATCAGCACTCGTTTCCCAGCACACCGTCACCTCGGAATCAATTCAAGCCTCAAACCGTGGTGTTATTCACACCACATAATTACTTTGTTCGTCCGTGGATGTTCAACGTCGTAATGAGCTAAAGATCCAACAACAGATGCTGCCCAGGGTTGAGCATCTGAAGGCAGGAAAGGTTCTTGGAAAATGACTCATGTAGTGGTCTATACTTGTCATGCTCTGGCATTAGACATGGATCTCCAACTGAGGAGCCATGCCTCATTACACATAATTCTGTGGAGAGATCAATGTCTGACAACCTGAAGATGATAACATCTAAAGTAATTTATTCTCAAATATGAAGATCCCTGCACATTTAGAGCACCTGAAGAAAGCAAAGCCATTTCACTGTATTTAAAGAAAGAGATTTCAGTCTGAACCTGCTGAGCAGTGAAACTGGACAGACAGAGGGTGAATTAATGTTTTTAACATCACTTAAAGACACTACGGTTCTGATGAAGGCAAGAAAAGATCTTTATAGATTTAGTTTGCCTGCATTTTTTCGAACATGTTTGTTGACTGTGTTGGATTTTTTTTTTTTTGGTTTTCTGAGACACATTGTTGATTTGACCCATCAGCGTTTTTAGATGTAATTGGATTTTATGAAAATGTATAAATGTAAATGTAAAATATGAATTCACTTATGTACATGTTATTGCAGCACCAAAAAAGAGGCAAGAACAACTAACAAAACCTTGTTCTGCTTCGAAAAAGGTTAAACAAAAAAACAACTTACGTCTTGGCTTGGCTGATGAAGTGCCGGCGCAGTACGAGAGCCAGAGTGGAGAGGAACATGATGGTGGTGCACATGGTCCCTAGAGACCACCACCCTGCAACCAAAGAGGCAGCAGTGTTAACATGAACCAGCCATAGTGGATAGTGGACTTTCCCAGTCCCCAGGTGTTTGTTTGTGCCTCTCTCTGCCTGTCTGCCTGGATCAGGAACGTCAGGGGATTAGCCAATCCCAGATTAGAAAAGATGACATGGTTCATTATTGAGGCACAGCACTGCTGCACATCTAAGCTATGTTGTGATGTGTGTGCAGTTATTGTGCATGATGCAGATATTTACTTCATAATCTCCAATGAAAAGCACATAACTACAAACTTTTGCCATATTTCTTAGCTGTAACATTTCCTGTAATACCAGACTCTGCCTCATGGCCCAGCAGGTGTGCTCTTCCTGCTGGTCTCCAGTCACCTGATCATCACCTGCCTGCACCTGCCCCTCACTACCCTGGTCAGCCACCTAGTATTATATACAGTATACCAGTCCATCTACAGCTCTTGTCTGTGGATAGACTGTCTAATGTGCTCCTCAGCCTTGTGTGTTGATCATGTCATAAGAAGATATATTTGTGTATATATTTGAAGATATATTTTTTTAGAACCAAAAACCATTTCAATGTAGTTTTACATCTCTTCTCTCAGGCTACTCTCTGGAGCCCTAGCAAAAACTAGGCTTAACTTCAGTACCTGTTTTCTCTTATGAACCAGTCAAATTGTCTCGTACCCTTTCCTGCTAAGCCTCTGTATCCTGCTCTTGGGTCCACACAACACTTTATTCATTCATAGTAAACTGATGGCAACAACCCAGACTTTTCCTTACCATTATATTTTCTAGCAGCATCAGTTGACGTTAACAAAAAGCATGACCCACAGTGCTAGACATTACCTTTTACTTTTCACTTTTGCTGTTCATATGGCAAAGTATTTCTATGTGAACCTGTCAATAATCAAGGATAACCTGCAGTAGCATTTCAAGCCACATTCAAAGCTGTATCCCACTCAGGTACTTTAGCATGATAACCATTGTTAAATGGAACAAAACAACAACCTAGCAACATAATGAGGATGGCTACAAGACAGAGAAATGCTATAAATACACACAAACACACACAATGGACACACACACACACACACACGTGCACAAACCATTATCTGTCTCATTAGGCTGCAGTTATATTTCTTGCAGACAGCAGGACGTGGATATTCTCAAGCCAGGGATGACATTCACCAGCGTCTGTGACTTTGCTGTCACCGCTCTGTCATGAAACCTCTGGTGCACGGACGGCAGACAGATAGAAGTTCACACAAGTGCCTGTCAGGAATGTCAAGTTGCAGCGATGTGGCTGTGCATCTCATCTGCAGCTTTGAGACAACCTCATGCCGCCTAATTGGAAAATTCTTCAGGCTTCCTCTCAAGCTTTGTGTTGATGGAGAGCTGCTCGGACTCACCAGTGCCTAAAAATCAGGGGGTTTAAGTGCCACAGAGCTGTTATTTGTGTTGACCTGCATGTGCTGCCTGGCTTAGCCGTGCTCCGGGCTTGTTTGAATCAACGAATTAAGGGATTTATTGCAGCAAATTTGTCAGTATTTTGAGCAGTTACATTTAAGGAATTGCATTCAAACTGCT